TTCGCCAGAACAATTTGCACGTGGAAGGCTGACACGTTTATCTGCCGAGTTAACAGCCCGTACAAATGAGATCCACCGAAATGTGTTTTCTCTGTAGCGATTGTAAACGCTGTGTTTCAATCGCCAGGCAATTAATTCTCCTTCCTTCTAGCTAGCTGTCCCTTTCCTCCTACCCGGCTAATCTAAAATCAGATCAAATCATAATCCACATCGCTCTAAAACAATACGGTACAAAACGATGGCTCGGGGCATTATCTGCGTTCATCAGTCCCTCTCTCCCCACTCTCTGCCCTCCTCCGTCCGCCTGGTCCTTTCAGACCGCAGCCCCGTGGGGCGGGGGTTGTCGCAGCCCCCAGCACAAGAAGGTCTTTTTGTCTGGGCTTCGACTCAGCGGCTTAGCGGCTACGGCGAAAGTCCATCAAATCACGGTGTCTGACTAAAGCTTTCAACTTGCTATTAAATTAGATATTAAGGATTACAGAGAGATCTGGTTGTAACCAAGTTTTTGGATATGTGCTTGCCAGGTAATGCAGGTGTAAAGACTGGGCTCAATCCTGTAGGGTCTGGCTCATGTGAATTTCCAAGACTAGGCTCAGAATTTTGGTGGGGGGGAAATAGGTACCAGATGATGCTGTCCGAACAGGAGCAATTTGTAGGGAGGTGCACCCCACGCTGAGGCATCTGTGCTCTCTGCCGGGCTTTGCTCGTCGCTCTGACGGACACCTGCCAGGTGGCATCCGTGGCACACCAGACCATCGCTCCCGAGGGTCCTCAGCCCTCGGGAGGTGCAGAAGGGCAGGAGAGTCTTGCCGGGCGCTTTGTGTTTGGTTTCCCCTGTGAGGAAACAAGTGGCGGTTTTTTTGCAACTATTTCTGTATCCATTTTTGGGAAAGTTTGGTGCATTGAGTATCTTCTTAAAAAATAGATATAAATGGATATAAAAATGTAAAAAAGTATCTGCAAGGATATTCTGTAACTTTGGAAGCTCATCTTTTTACTAGTTTTCCTCAGACCTCTAAGTACAATTAAAAAAAAGCATCGGTCAATCAATTGGAACAAAATCCAGGCAAAAATTCTCAGCCGACTGCCTGAATTTAATTATGAGGCAAGTTTCTTTATGAGAAATAAATCTCTTCTATTATAACACAGCTATGGGGCATTTTAAATTTCTCCATTGCTTGACACGTTTTGGCCAAAACCTGATCTCTTTCTGTTGTGGTTTAACGCGGCAGGCAGCTGAACACCACACAGCCCTTCGCTCACTCCCCTGCCCCCGAATGGGATGGGGGAGAGAATCGGGGAAAAAAAAAAAGTAAAACTCGTGGACTGAGATAAAGACAGTTTAATAGGACAGAAAAGGAAGGGATGATAATAATAATAATAATAATGATAAAAGAATATACAAAATAAGTGATGCACAATGCAATTGCTCACCACCTGCCGACCGATGCCCAGCCAGTCCCCGAGCAGCGGTCGCCGCCCCCTGACCAACTCTCCCCAGTTTACGTGCTGAGCATGACGTCACATGGTATGGAATGTCCCTTTGGCCAGTTTGGGTCAGCTGTCCTGGCTGTGCCCCCTCCCAGCTCCTCGCTGGCAGGGCACGAGAAGCTGAAAAGTCCTTGACGAGTGTAAGCACTACTTAGCAACAACTAAAACATCGGTGTGTTATCAACATTATTCTGGTACTAAATCCAAAACGCAGCACTGTACCAGCTACTAGGAAGAAAATTAACTCTATCCCAGCTGAAACCAGGACACTTTCTAAATGGTATGTTTAATTTGGCTGATGCAGGAATCAAAAATCTGAGTGGTGTCAGAATTTGTGTTATATACTTGAGCTTGGTTTGAGTGTCCCTGGATGAAAACAAACAGGTCTTTTTTCGGATTTCAAAATTTTATGAATAGATGCCTTTTAGTTGGCAACTTTCAGTCAATAGAGACACATGTTTGAAGCCTGTGAAGACTGGAAGTCTCTTGAGATTTTTTTTTGAAAGTAAACAGTATCCAAGGGTTTTTTTTTTTTTTCTCCATACCCTTATGGGAGTAAAAAGGTTTTAAGCTGCGTCTCCTCCTGGATTCAAGGCTGGTTGCTTTGTCTTCTCTGGAAAGAGCATTTAAGTGTTGAAGCTGTTGTATTATTGTAGCAGGTTGCAGCATGTTCTCCACTGCCTTACTAACAGTGCTGGGCAGCCTGGTGCTGTTGAGGTCCCCTTAGTCCCCCCTCACCTTCCCCATGGCACAGTGGGCTGTGCGCATCAGGGACAAGAAACCTTCCCTTTCCATGAGCTCTTGCACACTGATTCATACGAAGGGCACTTACGTGCTGTTTGGGAGTGGAAAATTGCCTTTATTAAAGCATCAGACCTGGATCTTAGAGGTTGGAGATGAGTTTCTCATTCCCGCATCCCCAAGCTTATCCCAGGGGCTCTTTGTGATTTTGGATGACTCCCTGCTCCTGAGCACGCTGCGAGGAGCAGTGAGTTGTATGGCTGCTCGCATGCTGGAGAAGCCGGTAGCTCTAATCTGGCTGCTTGGGAGTGTGTCCCCCTGCAAACCCTGCGGTGGGGGGTATTTCGTGTGATGTGCTAGACCAAAGGAGCTCAGTTTTCCCTGAAGGGAGGAAAGTGTGATGGTGTTTAATCAGCTGGAATGCGGGATTCCTATTCTTGCATTGTGCCATGTAAGACCTGTCAAGGTGCAGCCTGACTAGGATGCCTCAAAAATCACATCTGTTTGGCTGCTCTGCCACAGTCAAAGCAGTCAAGAGTTTTGCTATATAAGAATAATTATGTCTAAAAGCCCCCCAGGATGCTGGTTTCAGTGGGTGATGGCAGAGCTATGGCTTAAACTGCTCACCATGGCCAGGGACCTGCTCCCACCGGGAGGGAGTAGTTAGGCAAGTGTCTCAGAGTGGGGCTACAGGGGAGATGGTGGAAATGGGAATATCCACAGCCTGTCCTTTGGGGTATGACTCACCGGTGTGTTATCTGCAAGTCTTAGCTTCATACTTTGTGATGCTTTTCATTGTATGTGATGCTCCCCATGCTACGGGGGTTTCTGCCACGGTCATTCTTCCATAGTTTCATGAGATCGCCGTGTCCTTCCACTGTTGGTGTCTCCTGGAGGTGAGGATGGAAAGGGTGTAATAATAAAAGCATCTTGTGGTAGTGTCTCCTTACACGAACTGGTTTCCATGGACCCAAGGACCTGGAGTCCTGATTTACAGTGTTGCTGCTCCTGCAGCACAGTACTTCTAGGTAGACATGCTTTTGGGTCTTTCCTAGTGACAAGATAATGTCTCGCTCGTGCCAACAGGAGTTACCCTGATGATCTGAAAGGAGAATTGGTGTGTTTCGTGCATCCGTCCTGTGTAACATGCCCCGTTGTAAAATTACAGGGAGTCCCCATGTAGCTGAGCCAAATGGACACCTCTAGCAATTTAGAGTCCTTTCTCCAATTAGTGTCAGATAGGGAGTCTTTGCCCTGCAGCACTGACGTGCAGAGAGGGCAGGCGGTCCTCAGGTCAGCTGTGAAACTGCTTCATCCTTCACCCGTGATCACCCTTCCAGCAAGGATACCGCTTTCACTCTGTGGGTCACATTGCTACCTGTCCTCATTGCTATGGGGCAAATCCTGCCACCCCATTTCATACAAACCACCCAGAGGGCTGTGGCAGTCCTACAGTCTTTTATCAGCTCTGGTTCCTGCCTACATGAGGGAAGATCTCTGGATCTTAGAGTTGTCAAAGCCTCCGCTCAAGCTAATTTCTTCCTGTCCCAATGGTATGTCCTTAAGACGCTTTTGGGATAGAAAATAAAACCATCTAGTGAGATAACATTTTAGTAGGACCTTTGTTGCTGAGATACCCTAAAAATCTAGCAGCCTTCTGCACATGTGTCATGGCCTAAGCCTTCCTCCTTGGAGAGGTAAATATAGGCATCTAAGGAGACATCTAAAGAGATGCGACTCCATTTTTCCCTTCCACTGGATTGAACAGAAATTACAGCTACCTCAGCTCATCAGGTTAGCTTCCAGTTAGCTGGAAACTCCTCTTTCACTGCCATGCTGATGTCACTAAAATAAATTGGTTAATTTGGGAAATGGTGACCTACTCAGCAAAGTCATAAATGACCTGTTACGCGCTGCTCCTAATTCTGCACGGTTGCAATTGCAGGTCCTCATACGAAAGTGGTTCGTCGCATTTTTACCAATAGCCGGGAGAGGTGGAGACAGCAGAACGTCAATGGAGCCTTTGCAGAGCTTCGCAAGCTCATCCCCACCCACCCGCCCAAAAAAGGCCAAGCTGCTCAATGACCAGGAGGAAGAAGGAAACCAAAGGGGCAAAGTGAACAAAGACTCTGGGATAGTCCAGGAAGACCTCCTGCAGGACATGTTGTCTCCTAACTCTAGCTGTGGAAGTTCTTTAGACGGAGCAGCAAGCCCGGACAGCTTCACGGAAGAGCACGAAACGCTAGATTCGAAGCACACGCGGAGCCTGCATCATGCCATTCTCCCCGTAGAAGGCAACGCGCAGCGGTGATGACCTTCTGCATCACTCCCGAAGCACCACAGGGGGAGGCAAGACCCGAGCGTGAGGATGCTGGAACTTGTGCCTGTGGGATTTGTGACTCTGCCTTTCCCCGGGGGCTCGGTGTCCCCGTTCTCCCCAGCCCAGGACGGAGCGGCAGGGGCATTGGCCGAGGACAAGACCAAACCAGATGGACATTTGGCATTTAGGTACGTGATCGTACAAAGAAGAAAAGCATTGAAGTCATCTTCATTGTACATACTGCTCATGATGTGACTCTGCGGAGGGAAAGGAGACACGGCCAGCACCTCTCCAGCATTTAGAGGGTTCTCAGACTGTTTGACCACCATCACTTTTTAAACAGTTGTCCGGCTGAGACATGAAACTCCTCTTTCACTGCCGGTGGAGGCCACCAAAGCTCTCCAGCTCCATGTGGGGCTGGAGACTGCTGAAACGTGCCAGTGCTGCAGCTTTTCTCCAGCCTGTGGCACATACAACTGGTCTGAGCAGGAGCTGGGGCCACGTGTTCCTGTTGTCCGAGAGCTTTTGACTGTATCTTTTTAAAGAGGTGAAAAAATACCCTCAGCAAAAGAACTATTAAAAGGATTAAGACTTTTTCTTTTTCTCTCCTTTTTTCTCCCCCCCCCCCCCCCCTTCTTTCTTTCCCTTCTACCTAACTTTGGATCGTTTGGGGTTGTTGTATTTATGATGTGGGATTACTTCTGTTTAACGCGGTCATGCAGTATCCACTGAACGAAAAGGTACATAGGTGTTTTCTGCTGCCCTCCCAGTCCCTGATTTTTCTGCTGGTAATGCTCAGTGGGTGAGCTCCAAGCCTGTTGTGTTCTCCTAGAGTTTTCCCAGTGGTTTCTGTAGGGCCAGAGATTCTCTCAAGGAAGATTAATTTCAGAATTTATAAGTGGAAAAAAAAAAATTGCTAGTGAAGCATCCCCTTAGACTGGGGGATTTTTAAATTCAAAAAGCAACAAACTGGCAAAAGGAGTCGATGATGCATCAACAGTGCGCATGTACATAGGGTTATAAAAGGGTTTTAGCGGTATGCTTTGAATTTTTTGGTTTTATTGTGTGAAAATGGTGGTGGTTCAGCTGTGCCAATGCCCACAGGCTGGACTACAGCGCTGGATTTATTCCGGCGTTAGGAGGGTCCTCACCTGCCTGAGGCCACAGCCTCTCCAAATCTTGGGGGGGTGAAGCACTAAAAGCAGCGGTGGGATTAGCCTCCGTTCCTGAGTGCTCAGACTGCTGCAAAATTGATGTCTGCGAGCTGATCCTCTGACTCCTGCTGCCCCCCCAGGAGGGTGTTTGGGAAACAGGCTGACTGGGGAGCAGGAGGCTGCTGCTGCGGTGGCTGGGAGCTGAGGACCACATCATGCCATCACCGCTGCATCAGGCCCATCTCTCACCCACTGCCTGATGCCTGATGGAGCGATTGCCCCAAGCCCATCCTCTCCCTCTGCAGAGATGTCAAGGCACAGAAATCTCTACCATGCTACAGTAAAAAAAAACAACCCACAAACATCCTTTGGAAGGGATAAAGTCCTTTGAGCGGGGACATCTTCCACCGCACTCATTCCTTTTCAAGGGTGCTGAGGTACAAGGAAACACAGAGGGGCTGGACGGGCGGCTGTCTGCAAGCCTGTCCAGGCTTAATTCAGAGCCTCGTCATTTCCATCCCCACTTGGTTTTAATGCCTTTTTGTAAATAATAGGTGGGTGGCTGGCGCATGGGTTGGCACGTTAGGTAGAATTAGTTGCCTGGGAAGGGGTCCCAGCCCAAGCAAGGGTTTCCAGCATAGACCCCAAATCCTCCGAAACCACTAGCCTCCCCCATCTTAAATTGGGGAAAAGAAGGAAAACTCCTTCCCGGGTCAGGATCAACCGTGCATGGGGATTTTTACTAAAGGGGGTTACCCGCAGGGCTGGGCCAGGGATGAGGTGCCGGCGTGTGATGGAACGATGCTGAGGAAGAGGTTTGGGCTGCTCCCAGCACCAGGGGTAGGAGAAGCGGGCGGCAGGAGCTGGCAGGCGGGGGCCCTCCGGGAAGGGAGGGGCGTGCTGTCAGACAGGTAAAGCCGTTCTTGGTTTTCAGTGTTCAAAATAACCCCGGGGTGTGGTGGGTGGGGGTTTTAGACCCTTTTTATTAAACTACTGCAAGAAAAAATCACCGACACTCAGAAATTCCTCATTCCCCACAAGTTTGGTTTGTTTTTTTTTTTTTAACTTTTCAGTAGCTGAACAGTTGGGAAAATGGTACAACCTTGGTGGCACCCCCCAACACTCACATGCACATGCGCGCCTGCTCATAGCCCTTAGCAGAGCACGCCGTAGGTCTCCCGGGGTATGTACAGTTGTACTTTAATTGTGATTTGAATGGTACATTTCCTCTGCCCACCTCTCCTCCTGCCTGCTTCATCTCTCGCTGTGTGGACCGTCGCCCCCCGTTTCTGTTGGAAACAGCACTCTGGGGCAATGTCGTACCGTGTGAGTGAATTCCCGCCTTACGATTTTTGGGTTTTTCAGCCCTGTCCCTTTCTTTGCCACCCTCCCCTTGGATTTCTGCATTTTTTCTGCAGAAACAAAGTAACCAGACCTGGTACCCTGAGTCTCAACCCACTTGTGGATGTGCTATTTAGAAAACACATTTGTTGTAATGTGTGTGTATATATAAATATATATATATAATGAATATATCAAGAATATTTCTAAATAAAGTTTTACAAAGCAGCCTCCACTTGCTGTCTGCCTTTCTCCCACCTCATCGCTCGGATCCATCACTACTTTGGTATTTCATTCCTGGGCATTGCGGGGCGAGGATGCCAGGGTGGCCCATCCCCACCCATCAAAAGTCATAAACAGGCAGCAAAAACCTTGCAAAAGGATCTGCTAATTTTTTTTCTTGCTTGACTCATGCTGTCCAGCCTGGGCTGGGCTTTTGCAGAGAGAGCAAGCGGGAGGAAGACCGCGCGGGGCCGGCAGGAAGGAAGACAGGCGATGAAGCAATCCCCCCGCCGCAGGCAAGCGTTACCAGCTGCCACGACATTACCCCCAGCACATTATTTGCAGGTCCCCCAAAGGCTCTGACGGTCTTTTCCCCTCTTTCGGGGAGGGGGACGGTGTGGGGAGGGGGGCTACCGGGGGCAAT